GACCTTTTTGTCAAGCTTAGAAACTGATTTATATTTATGTTTATCTTCTAACGCCAAAAAATATAGAAGCACCTATCCTATACTTAGTGCTAGTCACTATTTACTGGCTCTATAGCCTATTATTAGTACGCAAACATGTATAGTCACTATCCTTTAAATAAGTATAGTGACCACGTGGCTCCCTGCCACGATGCGACCCTTCCTTCGTACTTCAGGTACGGTCTTTTCACCTACTTTTGTACCCAAGGTACTGCCACATCACATCGGTGTAGCAGGTGTGTATATACAATACATATTTTTGTGTACCCCGTATCACGTATATATTATAACCAACGATCATCTATCTATTTAAGAAAAATTATCTTTAGTTGTCATTAGCTGCCCGCATCAGCGGCTCGTTTTCCTGTCCACCGTGCACAACGATGATCGATTGATGGGTTTCTGGTACGAAAGACGGCAAAAGCTGGGTCTTGTTTAAACTGCTATAAAAACTTGTCAATTTTACAGCATTTCTAAAGTTGCTCGCAGCTTCTAGTGAAGCCGCAGCAAGCTGGATCTTCTTATCCTCCTGGTAAGACTCTTCTGTGTTGCAGTAAGTGAAGTAAAGTGCCAACTGCTACAACACTCAGCACGGAACCAATGGCGTTGGGTGTAAAAACAAAGTAGTCGCCCTCGGTGATGCCGAATGCCAACCACAAAAGCCCATTAAGCAAATTTGCTTAGCACATCGAAATGGGTAGTGACGCTGCCGACTTCGTCCGCACCACCCGTTTCATGGCATCTAAAGGTGATGCATTTAGACAAATGTTTATCGAGATGCACATCAATGCCAGCGTAGTAACAACTTGCTCTCGTAACTGATTCTAACGCTGTGAGCACCCAGAACTACGTAAGCCATACATAGTGCCATGACGGAACCTGCGTTTGCAATATATCGACGCACAGCCGATTGATCCGGACTCCAACGGTAATACACGGCGTTAAAACCCGCGCATGTACATTGGTCAAGGAAGCACGTAGTGAAGAGAGAAAAGAGTTGCCCTACCATAAAGCCGTACATAGCCCACAAAAAGGAGTTACAAAAGAGCATGATGATCGGAAATACCGTCAGCGGGTCGGGATTGCGTTGACGATTGATGCGTGCAAATTCTGGCCATGGAGAGACGTTGAGCAGCATAGATGAACAAGTGGTAAGAACACGTAAAGACTCGAGTAGGTTTGCCATAGTTGAGTAGTATTGAATGTATGATGAGATAATAAGATTGAAGTGAGAGAAAAGCTACGTGAGATTGAAGCTACAATTTGAACATTGATCGTTTCGTTTACGAGATGTCATCCATCCATACAACACTAACAATATAAAAGACAAGGCTTTGAGCTTTGATCAAGTAAAAGGTAAATGAAAATTACGAGCTGTAGATAAAACGGTAACGACGTATTATCAAATTATAATAATGTAAGCCGGTGCAATAGCTAGCAACGTTCATGGGTATCAATAACAAAAGGGTGCTTCGTCTTTTAAAACTAGAAGATATTATAGTTTTTTTCGATCTGTCAGAAGTGTGAATATGAATTTGGGCTTTAGGGAGCAATAAAGGTCACAGTGCGACAGTATCTTACATGCCAAGGTGTTGCATATTTATTGATTCATCCATCACTCCTTTACGCTGGTTTGCTTCGCTCTGCAAGGTTTGCCGCTCGCATTTTTCCATGCACATCATTTAAGCAAATGCTTTAGCCCGCGCAATTAAGTAAGTCAACACTACGAGTAGTATTAACGTCGTCGTACGCTAAAGGCAACCTGTGCGTACCTCTATTACACTTACCCTCTATTTTCGTACGGCATGATAGCAGACCCCAATGATTCCTCATACTTCAGCAATTTATTTGCGGTATAGCTGAAACAGCAGCAGCAAATATTGTCTTGAATCTCAAGAAAAACGTTTACGGTTCCCAATGTCTGAGCTATGCAACTTCGGATTTTCAATGTAACAAAAAACAAGCCGGAAGTATGGTCCATGTTTCATTAGCAGACGACCTAATACTGATCATAAGGCTATGGTCTTTAACGGCAGATGTTGTATTGTATCTGCAACCAAAGAAGCGCCTCTAATTTTAGCGGTTGATGCAGGATGGTTTGTGTTTTACGAGAGCTATGACAGCTATGACAGCTATAAATATCACAATTTTGATGCCCTGTAAAAGCTGTCACCATGTTCAAATTGGCTTGACCACCGAACTAATAAATAAAAGATTAAAGAGAACATGAACAATGTCCAAGCAGATCTAATGGGGCCATAATACACTACAGAACAGATAGTTTTAGCAAAGCATTAGAACGAGATTATGAATATATCTGACTGTTTCTGTTGTGCTTCTGTTGAGTGAACTCGTCGAGAAGATACAGATAGATAGAGCTACGGCAGATGTGATTGCGAATACGTCGATGATGGCAAGAGCAAGTATCTGGTAGTCAAGCGCTGGTGTTTCGGGCTTCCTAACAAGAGGGAAAGCGTTTTGAGATGAGCTTATGTTGAAGTAATTACGAGCAGCTGTACTTTACTTAGTGTTGACCAGCAAATATTGAAATTCATTAGCTGAGAAACGCTCCACTCATTTATCACGCAATCACAAACAACTGTATTTGAGGTTTCTTGCAGCGTGTTAAAATTTTCGAAATCAACGAAACGCTGAGCTTAAAAGTTTGTATTGTTGCTTTGGTTAATGTTTGGCAATTGATTAATTTAGAAGTATAATACGTGCGTTGTTCAATAATAAATGGTCTATGTCATGTAGGTGACGTACAAATTGTCTTGATTGTTAGTCGTGTATGTGTGTAGCTGTTGAGAAATAACATGTAACGCAACTTATTTTCACAGCTCACTTCTTCATTCCTCTCAACGGTTTTAAAACTCCTAAGACTTAAACACTTTTCAATCACCAATGGCTGTTGATGCGCATAATCTCTCGTTTATGCTTGAAAAGGCAAACGTAGTCAAGAATGAAGACCGACCGTAGATTAATAATATACGACGTCATCATTCATGTCCACTCCACGGGCATCTGCGCCACTACTACAAATATGTTAGCATTGGTAAATACGTAGTGACCAAGCCCATGGTATAAGGACACGAGTCGTCCGGCGTTGTGTGCGCCGTTGTGTACGCCGTAAAGTCGCTTTAACCAGGGACGAGGTGGCTATGTAGCCTGGTGTTTCATGTCGTCGGTGCGTGCGCTGCCGCAAGGGTACCTACAATTTGTGCTTTAATCTGGCGTTTACTGCCACTTCAAGGTACGACGGCACACTGGCCAAGTTTTACATGAAGCCGAAGTCTTTTGCCACAAGCTGCCGTCTTATGTCAGTTTGCAAGAGGGCGCGCTGCTCGAGTTTTTGGCAGTAGCCATGCATTTCTGCCGTCTGGCGAAGGTCTATCCTGGCAACAGCGTCGTAGTCTTCGGCGTTGTTCCCGTAGGACTCTTTGGCCTGCAAAGCAGCAAGCTACGTATTCGGAGCCACGACGGTTGTCGGCGTGGATGTCAACAAGGCTCGTCTCGAGTTTGCCAAAGATAACGGTGCTACGCACGTCTTTCGGAACAATATGAGGTCTACGCCGCAGAAAATTGCAGAATAGATCATCGTGAGGGTACGGATGTTGTACTAGATGCCAGTGATGCCGAGGCTTGCATTCAAACGGCCATAGCGGCCGTACACGCATGAAGGCATGGAGCATGTACTTGTAACAGTCTTGACATTGTGGAAATGTAGTGATGAAGACGACTGTATTTTTGCAGACTGATGTAAAGTTCTTAATCGGCGAAAGGCTGAAGATGACTGGTAACTTCCGTTTCTTGGCGGGCGATAACCAGCTTGCGCTGGACATGTCGCTCGTGGTAAGTTGAGTACAAAGGAGTTGATTTCCAGACGGTACCGTTTGAACAAGCTGAAGAAGTGTTTGACAATGTTCAGCGTCGCAACGGCTGGCTCATTGCGTCGCCAAATCGGTGTCTAGATAGGCCCAGGAACTGAATAAAAACCAGTCATGCAAGAACATCATGTTGTAGTCATTACTGGAACACGCTGAATCAGTTTTTGCTCTTGCTGTTCTATACTGTTTTTCTGTAACCTGCTCTTTACTACTATGAGGCTGGAACCTGCTGAGAAGCACTTAAAACTGGCGTTGACGTCGAATGTGCCACACTCAGGATCGCAAAAGTGATTTTGACAAAAACACGGCAAACGTTGCCGTGTTTCTGTCAAAATCATTTTAAAAAAAAAGGGGGGTGGGTTTTTTTTTTGCGCAAAAAGCAAAGCCACGCCTGCATGTCATTTGGGAACGGTTTGGGCGAGGCCACGTGCAAGTCGAGGTGGCGTTTGACGCCGACTGCAGCTCAATTAGATAGCATTATAGGTGCTTGGTCACATGTCTTTTTGCAACGCAGTTGCTTTAGCCAACGTCGCGATTGGTGCGCATTAATGCCAAAATACTCACAAATATAGCGTGACCGCTTCCCCAAAACCTCTATGAGTCGCCTGCGCACCATGGACTGTATAAATCATGAAAACTGCGCAAGCTCAGCAGGTCCAACAGCACAAAACTTGGCAAAGCAGACGTTGTTTTCTTGCTCACGTGAGTGCATCTGGATACTTTCGCACCGATCTCAAGGATCTGAACAAAACATTGGATGTTGCGCTTGTCCTGGCATATCAGCAAACGACTAATTGCATCTTTAGGTCGACGCAAACCACTGTGGCCCAGCATCACAGTAGGTCTGTAGAACGCCGGACGGAACTTAGTGCAAAGGTAACGCATCAGCATCACCTGGAATCCGTGTTGCTGTTGGTTTCGATCCATCATTTTATCCAGGTATTGCAACGCATCACGCTCGAGCTCTCCCATCAACAGTGGTGGCATATCCGCCAGCGATGTTTGCTTCCAAGTCATTTGTTTTCGCTTGTAAGGAAACAGTAAACACGCACTTGGCGCCACTGGCGATATGTAGAGAGTAACAGGAGCCGATGCACTGCTCATAGTTGCTTCTTGGAAAAACATGTTTTTGGTAGGCGAAAATGCCACCGTGTGAAAGCGTAGTCGCGATTCGGTATTAGGTTTTTGGCGTTTTGCATTATCGTTGTCAGCATATTTAATAACGTCCGCCGTCCGATAATTGCTGTTTGCTCCAGCATCGACAGCATCGCTGCTAAGAGTTTCGGTGCATGCCGGGGTAGTTGGCATGCTTTGCAATGGAGCAACATTGAGGCTCCCTGGAGACCAAACTAACTGTCATTTTCTGGCTAAGCACTATAGGCGTCGATTAATGATGTATGTTGAGTGCTTTATTTTGCGACTGTTTTGGCAGCGAACAGTGGGTCAGATGCGTGTCAGAAAGTATCGCATCAGCTTTCATAAGTTGCTCAGCTTCCGCTTCGTGGGGGCTTCTACCAACACTGTACGGTCGTCTATGTAAGTGCGGTGATCCACGAGCCAAACCGTTGGCGGCAGCTCCACCACTATCCGTGTCGGCACCAGTCACTGACACATCTTCATTTACGTCTCTGACAGCTTCTGCCACATTATCGACAGTATCCATGCTGTTTAAAACTTGCTGTCCAAAGCGCGATCCACGGGTGTCAATGTAAAAGTAAATGGGTGCCGAATCTCCGAGGCCGTCATAATGATGCGGCTCTGCCAAATCATGGAATCGACGCCAGCGAGCAAGTCCTTCTTCTGCATAGCTCAAAGCCTGTGCTGCTGTTACTCTCAACGCTTTAAGACGTGCTGCAAAAGATTTATAACTAACAAACAGGATGCGCTTTGCTTCGACGTCGTCAATCTTTCCGTCTGTCCGTCGTAGCTGAAGCTCCACCATCGCGTGACGTTGCAAACAGTGACGAATAAGATCCACTGGACGAGAAAAATCCGATGCTGCGGCGATGCGGACTGCATACTGATTTGGCACTGCAAGCACATTATCATCCGCAAACATTCGCACTTTTAGCAACTGATTACCACGTCCACGGGGTTCCATCTCCTCCGCCGACACCACAACGCCCCAGAGGTTGGCAGCATCGGGTGCGACCATCTTAGCGCTTTGCGGCAGCAACGCATTGTTAAACTCGAGCACAAGCACGACATCTCCAGCTGCAAGTCGAAGCCTGAGCGAGTTGCTCGCATCGGAGCTACTTGTCGGGCACTTTGCGGTTTTTCCGTCATGTTGGGAACAATAAAACAAGTGTATAGGGTCAACCTCACTGGATTTTATCGCAGGCACAGCAGACACTGTTCCACTTTCTCTGGGACATCGTAGGTGTGTCATATGAAGGCACAAGCAGCAACTCTTGCAGCGTTTCATATCTGTTTCCTTTATACCACACGTATTACACGTATGTCTTGGACAAACAAAGTCGGATTGCATTAATGTATGTTTATCCATCTGATCTGGTATTGCTAAATTTGGTTGACAATGTTTATGAAAATAATATCCACAATTTACTACTCGACATTTACGCATTCCATTATCTTTATGACCTAAAAAACCACAATATTGACAAGAATGAATGTTGCGCCAGCAATGTGCACACTTCCATTCTTCAATTGCTTGTTTTCGTTTGTCTAGTGATAGTAAATCTCCTTCAATTGAAGCTTCTATTTGATCAATACAATGTTGATGTACAGATCGAGCACAAGTTCCATAACATCGTAACAATCCACGACCCATATTACCACAGAGAAAACAATTTGATGGAAAGAGTGAAACACGAGGTGATACAACTTCATGTACAAGTTCATGTCGTTGACGTTTTACCTTGGATTCAGTAGAAACGATAGTAGTATCCACAATCATTGTATCATTTTTATACTCTACGGTATTATCAGTCATAGTAGTAGCAGTACTAGTATTATTAATATTGCTATTAGTATTACTATTAGTAGTAATATTCATACGTGCACATTCATGTTCATGAAACGACATCTCATGAGGTAATGTAGTAGCAGCATATACATGATAACAGCGTGAACAATAAAGAATAGATGAAGAAGATAAAGATGGAAATGATAGTGAAAGAGAAGATGAAGAACATGAGTCAACGTGAAGAGCAAATGATGCACCAGAAGATGAGGAAAATATTTCAAAACATACAGGGCAGGATAGACTCATTTTCGCCACGTGCAAAAATTAAATGGAAAGTTTACTCGTGTGTCAGACATTAGAGAAAACACCAAGAGATAACGCTAATATCATTGGTTATAAATGCAAAATGTTGCCATTTAAATAATAATTAAATACCGAAAGTAAAAAAAAACTATTCCTTGAGCAAGTTTGAAACCAGTTAATTTGAGAACATTCGTAATTTATTATGTAATTTATTTATTTCTTTTTGGACCATTTCGATTAGACATTACAGCTCCCAAATGTCCCGTTCCATGTTGTCGTGTTCATGGCACTTACAACAGGCATTACGTCGTTCTCTTCAAGTGTCATTACCAGAAATTGAGAATTCGAGTATACTATCTAGTCATTCATTAGGTGTACGTCGTTCGAGACAAATCAAGGCAGACTACCAGACGAGTCTTGCCTTACATTTAGGGAACCATTTGTCAACAACAAAGCAAAAGACATTTGTACCACTCGTAACTGCTCCTACAGCCGAAATGCTTGCTAATACCATTGTAAACACTATGCTTACAATCAACGAGCAAACAAACAATCCCTTGCTTCAGAATGCATTTGTATCCAAGAATGGTTTTATAAATCTTGTTCTACACGATAAATGGATAGCACGTCAGGCACTTTGTATGGCTAAAATTGGTATTCGACCTTCTGATTTACCATATCACCAACCAAATATAAAAAACATTCTTGTGGATTTTGCTGCTCCTAACATGGGCAAAAAATTACATGTCGGTCATTTACGTTCATCTGTATTGGGTGATACACTTTGTAATTTACTGGAATTTCATGGTCATCGTGTGACTCGAATAAGTCATACTGGAGATATTGGAGCAGCTATAGCAACACTTGTTGTAGAACTTATGGAAGAACAAGTTTCTCTAAAGACACTTTCAGATCTTGAGCTTGGAATATATTATGAAACAGGAAAAGCAAAAATTGCACGAAATGAGACAAATTTTAAATGCAAGGTGGACGACATTGTGTTACAATTACAACAACTTGGAACTGATAATGCGGGCAAAGTGGACCCACAAGTTCGTAAAACGTGGACACGTGCGTGTCAAGTGAGTCGAGATGCCTATGAAAGTATTTTTCATCGACTTGGAGTTAATGTGAAGGAACGTGGAGAGTCAACGTATATGCCGTTAGTACCAGAAATTGTTGCAATGTTGGAGAAAAACGGCTTGGCTGTGCCTTCACAAGGTGCATTAGTTATCTTTCTGGACGGTCCTGATAAACCTCCCATGCTGATACGCAAGAGCGATGGCGGGTTCCTATACGCGACAATTGATTTGGCCTGTCTGTACTCGCGCATTTATGGATTCCCAGGCGTCGATTCCACTCAGTACGATGAGATTGTGTACGTCACTGACCAGAGCCAGCAGCTTCACTTTCAGCACCTGTTTGCAGCAGCGCGAAAAGCGGGCTGGACAAGCCGACAAGGAAAAGATGACGTGAAGTTGACTCATGCACCATTTGGTCTGGTGTTAGGACACGACGGTACGAAGCTGAGTTCGCGGAACGGAGCGTTCGACTACTTAGAAGACCTGTTGGATAGTGCTGCCGCCGAGTGTTCTCGTCAAGCATTGGCTTCTGCTACGACAGACGTCGTCATTAATGAGCTTAATTTGACCCAAGAGCAGGTTGATGCCCAAAATCGTGTGATCGGAGACGCTGCTGTACGCTATTTTGAATTGGCTCAGCAGCGCGAACGTAACTACAAGTTCATTATAAGTAACGTGCTTAATCTGAAGGGTAATACAGGCGTCTACCTCATGTATGCGTCTGCGAGACTACAGGGTATTTTACGCAAGGCTGGCGGTTTGGGTAATGGCCAGGCATCATATGACTCTTTTCTTGGGCTTTCGAGCGAAGACCTAGCAGCTGAAGATGTATTGGCACATGCCGCCGTCGACTGGCACCCGTCTGAGCGTGCGTTGGCGTTGTTGCTATGTCAGTTTGACGATGAGGTGGCTGCATCATTGGCACATCTATACCCTCACTACTTATGCGACTATCTCTTTCGTGTAGCTAGTCATTTCCATGGTTTCTATGAAAACTGCCGTGTGCTTCAAGACCCTCGACAAGATAGTCGATTGTTGCTGTGCGCTGCGACAGACGCCGTCTTACAGTGTGGTATGCAGCTTATAGGTGTCAAATCCGTAAGCCGTATGTGAGGAATACAAAACGCTGAATTTTATTCAGTAACTGGGCGAATGTGACAGCACTAAACGTCTGGTTTAAAACTTGAAGGTTATGAAGCATGAAGATTCTAGGAAAATACCATTGCTGTACGCGGTTACACAAAGGTGTGTGTATTTTGCATATATCTCTAGGTTGATGTGACCGTACCTAAGGTACGAAGGGTTGTATCGGGCAGTGAGCTACGTGGTTACTATACTTTTTTAAGTATAGTGATTATACATGTTGCATGATAATAATAGGCTATAGAGCCAGTAAAGTAAAGCGTAGTGCTTCTATATTTAGTGCTAGAAGATAAACATAAAGATAAATCCGTTTCAAAACTGCTCTATAAGCATCACTGCTTGAGCATTCAATTCCTCCTGAGGAATTAAGTATCTTTGATACTAGTCTCATATGAGACTCTGTTACAACAATCGATAGGCACAAGCTTACGATCTAGCCTAGTGAGGGTTAAGCACCCTAAGACGTAGCAGCTCTCTGAGCTTGTCTTCCTCTGCACATAGTGCATAATTAGCTTGGCCCCCCCCCCCCCCCCCCCCCCCCCCCCCCCCCCCGCTACAGTAGCTCGGCTACATCCTCTTCACATATTTCTAAAAAGGGGGGGGGCGGTAGCGCGCTCACACACGGGTTTTAACAAAAAAAAAAAAAATTTTGGGTTAGCTTTGGGGGGGGGAGAGAAAAAAAATAAAAAATTTTTTTTTTTTTTTTTTCCTCCCCCTTTTTTTTAAAAAAAAATTTTTTTTTTTTTTTTTTTTTTCTTTTTCCTCTTTTAGCAGCTCCCGCTACACCTGGTAGCACTTGTAGTCAATCCCGCACCTGGGTTTACGACTACTTCTCTGTCTGAGAATGGACATACATGAGATGTCAGCAATTGGCCTGTCACTGGCACAACAGGAAGGGTTGCAGAAGCTGCTCCTTATCTTTGGCCCTAAGGGTGTGGAGTACCTCATTGCCCAGGGCGAAGAAGAGGTTAACAAGCGTGTTAACATGCTTGATGAATATAATAAAGCTCTAGTCGAGCATGTAAAGGCACAGATGCCTTCTTCTGCGCCTACGCCCATGGTGACTATGGTGCAAGAAGTGGTTCGCCAACCAAAACCCATACAAATGGAAGTCAATAAGTTCGACGGCAAAGAAGGTAATAACCTTATGCTTGGCTTCAGGCAGGTGAGTCGGCTATGGTTATAGCTGACATCACTTATGAACCGTACAGTGTTGTATTTGCCACGGGTAAGCTGGGTGGATTCGCCAAACAGTGCGCATTCACATGCATTTCATCATTGTGTGGTGGTGTGGGTTCTCAAAACACCGTAATGAGACCCCAAGCCAATCACTGTGCCGGAGTGCTGACTGTCGGAGGGGGTACCCCGATGCCGCGTATAGATCTTCTCTCACCTTGTGTACCTGTCTGATGGCGGGTTGCACTCTTCGGAAAACTTGGTTGTGATCAGATGTCGACCTTAAGAGAGGTCGACCTTGGAGTGCCTCGAGTGGGTATACTTCACTCGGTAGGCGGATAGGTGGCCACTCGGTCGATTATTTCGAGGTGGACTTATAGCCAGATTTTTCAGGGGATATACTCAACCCTGGCCTTTTCCTTCCTTGATATCTCAGGGGTGTTAACCGCCTGGCCTTTACTTACTCCCGGACCACTATGGTAGGGAGACCGCTTCCGATAGCGGGTTGAGTTGGGGGGGCTACTCAGACGAACCCACAGGCCAAATATATCCTGGGGTTCTATTCGCACTTGGGTCTTACCACACAACTGTCTTCGACGGGCTGGGGCAAAATGTATCCCTTCCCGGAACAGGTGGGTAGACTTAGTAAAAGTCTAAAAGTACCTTGGAAGTACGACAGAGGTGGGCTATGTAGATCGCAAATTGAGTAGTATTTAGTCTCATTTTTTAACTTCTTTACTCTATCTCTACCCCGAGACCTGATTCTTCATTCTGCTTGCCAAGGGGCCGGGTGACCAGGGGTTAAGGGTTACCAGGGTCTATCAACGAAAGACCAGGGTCTACCAACGAGGCACCAGGGTCAACCTTGAAAGACCCGGGTTTTCCAACAAGGGACCTGGGCTAACTTCGGAAAGACTGGTGTCCACCTCGAGTAACCGCGGTCGATCTGACTAGCCGCCGCCTGGAATTTTTCTTGGGACTTGTTTGGTCCACCAGACGGGAAGGTTGATCGACCTTCCAAGTGGAAGTCGTCTTTGGTCGACTCCTCCTTGCTCCAGAACCTCTTGGCAGCACGCCCATTAGTGTCAGCTCGAGTATCGACCCCCCCCCCGTATCCTTCCAACTAGCAAGCTGGTTCGCCGAGCTGAAGGCGACTTAATTGCGCTTCGATGAAGACCACATCCAGGCGATCTAGGAGCCCCCCACTGCTATGGATCTGGAAGGACCAAGCGCGCTCCAGCTCCTTCCTCTCGTCTTACTACAACGCTTAGAAGAAACGACGGTTTAGTGCGATTCGGGCGTGGCGAGGGGTAGTCGACCTACTTTTACAAAAAGGTGAGCGACGGTCATTGCGATATCGACATCCTGCTCGATTCCTTCTCCTGGCACCTTCCCCGATCTTGCTGTGTAGTATATTGATTCCCAGGGTGTGAGGAAGGGTCGGATCCCGCCGACCTGCTGAACGCCTTGAGAGTCTCCGACTCCACTTACCCATGAATCTCCCGGATGACCTACTCAAGCGATTGCAAGGCTGAGAAAAGTCCAGTGGACATGAGCTTTCGACTCGTTTCAATTGATGCAGCTATCAAGGCCAAAGCTCCGTTCCGTGAAGCAGTTGGTGCCTTGATGCATCTGACTGCTACGACACGCGCGGACATTGCTTATGCTGCGGGCTATGTATCGCCATCCATAGAAAATCCTAAACGCAATTACTGGATTGCAGTCAAACGCATAACTAGCTATCTTCAAGGCACTAATATTGAGGGTAGCCGGTTTACCGACGGCCTTTGACCGTGACCTGGGTAACAACGAACCGGCCCAAGGCGGTTCAAGAATATGGTAAGGATTATGCCATGGAGTGCAGAGTGATGGTGATTAGACGAGTAGGTTGATAGGAAGATCTACATGATTTATATGTGGAGCACATATAGATCATTGGTGGGAACAGGCGCCTGATTTATATGTGGACCTCATTCAAATCAGGCAGTTAGAAGAGTAATCTTCGATTAAATTAATCACTTTAGAATCTTCATTCAACCAAGCAAGTGTTTTACGCTCCGCTCCCTTCGGTCTCTCCATTCCCTCACCCCCCACTCCAGCATTCAAGCTTCGACAGGTTATGAGCCCAAGTGCCATGTCCTCATCTTAAGATCCCTTGGCCAAGGTTTCCATTGATCGTTTCAATGGAGACTACTACGCGACTTGGAGCCGCTATATGCGTGGCGTGTTCCTTACCAAGTCGGCGTGTCACGTCGTCAACCGCGAGACGTCGCCGACGTTTGTGGACCCGCACGCCATGGAGGACTACTTCAAGCCCAGCAACCTTGCTTTCGGTCTTATGCTTTTGCATACGGACGCGAACTATCATCACGTGGTTGATGAGGAAGCATGGGTTGCGTGGGCGCGAATCAAGACTCTGTACGGCGGATCTTAGAAGGCTGGGCGCATCTACTTGAAGCGCCAGCTCTTCAGTATAGAGATAAAGGAAGGCGGCAATGTGTTGCATCATTGCATTAGGTTTCTCCACATTAGCGACAAGCTTACTAGCATCGGCGCCGAGATGGAGGACGAGGACGTTGCGATCTGCTTACCTACGCGGTCTGCCCAACAGTTTCGAGAACGTGCTTCTTAACTTGAAGATGAACAGCGCAGAGCTTCGATCGCGGGTCATCGTGAAAGTGCTCACGAAGAGCATGTGCAGCGTCAAGGTGAGAGGCTACGGTGATCAAGACTGAAGACGCGGCCAAGGCGTTCAGTACCGAGCGTGAACCGCACCATGCACGTACTGCGGAATATTGGGGCATACGGTGGACCGATGCAGGATCAAGCAGAAGACGAGAACTAGGGCTCAAGACGCGGCGGCAATGGTCGTGGACGCGGGGCAAACAATGTCCACTGGCGCAGCGAGGACGACTACGAGCACCATGATCGAGTCGCTTTTGCAGTTTCTCTTGAGTGTGGATTATCGACGGCAAGAATATGCCAGGGATGTGGGCGGTCGACAGCGGCGCAACGCACCACATCTGCAATGACAAGGCCAAGTTTGCAAGTCTTGACGAACGCAATGAAGGCAAACTATCGGTGGCTGACGGCAACGAGGCTGCCATTAAGGGTGTGGGTACCATCATCGAGCAAGTGTTCTGCCCAATGGCAACAAATGCGACATCGAGATCAAGGATGCGCTGTTTGTGCCAACCATGAACGAGAATCTGCTTTCGGTGCCGCAGATTAATAAGAGCGGCAAGTTTTAAGTGGTGTTCGACGGTTCCACGATGCATGTGGCACACAAGAACTCGACACAAGTAATAGCAACAGCCGATCTTATCAATGGCCCTCTACTGGCTTCGGACACCACAACGATCGGCAAACACTGCGACAATGTCCGAGCCACCGATCTGCACGCGTGCATGGGCCACGCGCCACTTGATGTTCTTCGCAGGATGGTGACCAGTGGCATGATCAAGACGCAAAGATGCCGGTCAAGTCTAGTCGATCAAGTGTATGCCATGGATGTCAACAAGGGAAGATGGTCCAAAATTCATTACCCAGTAATCGTGACAAGCGTCGCTACGACACGATTGAGCTAATCCACTTCGACATCTGTGGCCCGATGAAAGAAGTCTCAATTGGCGGCAGCAGATACTTTCTGTTGATTGTGAACGAAGCTAATGGGTGCGTGAAGGGCTTCTGTTTACGAGCCAAGTATGAGAGCAAAAACGCCATCAATAGCTACATCACCAAGATCCAGACTCAATTTGGCAAACAGTCAAGTTTTTTTGTCATGATGGAGCTCGAGAATTTGCGACCAGCTCGCTCAAGATGTTTTACGAAGACCATGGTATCGAGCAGCTGACAAAAGTTCCGTAGGCACATCAGACGAACGGCACTGCAGAGCGCGCCATCCAAACCATCGTGACAATCGGGCGCAGGTTGCTGCATCACGCCAAATTGGACAAGTATTTTTTTTGCAGAAGGAGCAATGACGGCAATCTACGTGATAAATCGTCTGCCATCGCCCAAGATCTCCGACATGACACCATTCTAGATCGTATTCCAGTTCAAGCAAAGCGTCAAACACATGCGCGTTTTTGGATGCCAAACCTACATTCTGACGCCAAGTGAGAAGCGTCTCAAATGGGACCCCAAGGTTCGTGTTTGCATTTTCATGGGGGTATGAAGAAGTGTCAAAGGCATATCGAGGGTTTGATGTCGAAGCTGCAAGTAGTGATCACTCGCGATATGAATTTTGATGAATCGACGTTTGGATTTTCAATGGAACCATCAAGTGAAGAGGTCGATGATGCGATGTTGGACTTGTATCTTCCTCGAAATCAACGACGATGATTTGCGTCAAGTCAACTATAGGCAGACAGGCAAGCGCAAATTCCTGCCTAACAACAATGCTGTGCTCGCTGCTCATCCGCCCACTGGGCCGGAGAAAACAAGTGCGCCAGATGCCTTGTATGATCGCATCAGAGAAGTCAGTCAAATGGCCGAGAAGTGCCCGACTATGATGACGAAGAAGAGAAAGAAAGTATGAGTGATCAATATAATGACTTCACACCTTCCGCTCTTTGGCGTGCTAGTGCGAACGCAGCTGAAGAAGTGATCTGTCGGAATCTGCAACGTTCCACGATGCGATAAGTGAACCAAACCAATTGCATTGGCGCAAAGCCATTCAAGCGAAGCTCGAGTCGATGCAGCTTCGTGTCCCCATATCTCCGGCCGAAGGAGGCGGGTAGTACGGCACCGGAGATGCATATGGACGTTTAAAGCGTACCAGGAGGTTAATCTGACATCGAAGTTAGGCTTTTAAACGCTCAATCGCCGCTAAGAGGTCAGAGGTCTCAGAGTGATAACTCTCAAAGGAACGGCGGTGTCGATCGACACGGTCATCGAGCGATGACAGGTGAGACCTCACCAATGCAAGGGCATCACGCTCCAGGAGCGTCAGGCAACGCTCAATCTCAAAAAAGATGAGAGGTCAATGGGTCATCGACCTCCTCCGAA